GAGTGTTAAATATGTATAATTATATAATGAAAGAATGTTTACGAAAAGGTTATCCAGCAGGTGGATCAACTATTGGGCCAAGTCCTGTTCTTTCGAATATGATAAAAAGCAATCTAACGTTTGGAACGCAATTAGATGAATTAGTGCAGGCTGGTTTATCTGGCGAAGAATAAAATGATTTTGAATCAAAATTGAAACATTTTAATGTCAATGTAACGTTAGAAAATTATGTTCGTTGTCATCAAGAATGTAGTCGTAATGATTTACCTTAACAATATGTAATTGGTAAAGAGCAAATGCAATGGGATCAAAATAAACCACAATATCATTCTGAATTCAAGTATTATTTTACAAACGAAGAATTTATGAATAACAGTTATAATGCACAAGATGATTTAAATAATTCCATTGAGACAAATAATGATCATAATGATTCTCATGAAAATGATAGTCATTCAAAAAGTTTTTAAAAAATTCTTAGGAAAAAAAATTTGAATATTGATGATCATTGTAGTAGTATTTATCATACTGAATCAATTAAAAATTTACAAATATTTAACCCTTTGAGTCTCGGCGACTTCTTCAGGAGTCACCCATGGATCGCAACGATCAACTTCAGTTGGCAGACCAATGAATCAAGCAGTACCTTTGCGTCTCACAGAACGACACTTTCCATCATATATACCAAGTGTCGATAGGAATCATAGAATATATCGAAGAAGATGTGTTGTATGCTCGTCATACCAAATAAGAACACAAACAACTTATATTTGTGCAGAGTGTGATGTTCCTTTTTGTGTTCCTGTTTGCTTCAAAGATTATTACACAAAATTGCATTATTAGTTAGAATTTCTTTGTATTCTCATAAAAACATATTTCCTTTTCTTTGAAATACGAAATACAAATAAAATAAAATAAGAAATTTAAAAAAAAACGATTTTTCAATTTTTCGAAAAAACAAGCCGGGACTGAAACGGTTAATTCATCGTCTTCATCAGTATCTTCACCGATTACAACATCATCTTCAACAATATATGACTTAAATAAACCAACAACTACTTGTCATCTTTTTTTAGATGGACAAGCAAAAGTCAAAGTTGAGACAAATCCTCGATTCTTTATGTTTTATTGTTGGCTTTAATGTCTACAATGAAGTTATTACAAATATTAATAATTTAAACTAGCTTGATGAACACGACAGATATCATATAATGTGGTGAATGATTTCAAATGTTAATATTAATATTTATTCTCTTAAAGAAAACAAATATTTTCTTCACTTGAGCCATGAATACATGGATATTCGTTTACAAAAAAAATTTCGTTTTGATTTGAGTAACTCGTATTTATGTATGAAAAATTTTCGTTATACCTATTTGTATCTTGTTTTCTAATCTAACAGCACTTGTAACTTCCAACAACACAATTTCGTCTGGTGTGTTGATTGTTACCAACTCGCTTGATGATAA